TGATAAAATGCTTATTGACTGAGTTAGGTCGGGCCGTACGGGAAAATATTTGGCTCTCGGTCATTTGTACGGACCTCGCTGCGCTCGGTCCGTACGACATGACCTCGAGCCAAATATTTTCCCGTACGGCCCTCCCACTCAGTCAATAAGTACATAATAATCACTTTGCCTTCGGCAAATAATTGTTAAATATGTATCAGGGATCACTCGACACAAGTTAAAAACTTAGCATGTTTTGAGTTGTTTGAAAGTCAGTCTTCAATCTTATTCTTACTGCGCATGCTCGACGAGATAATTTTGTCGAGCATGCGCAGTAAGAATAAGGGCTCTAGGTACGAGATTGAACCTCTTCGTGCTATTGTAAAAATATGCACATTTGACTTTCAAACTTGCCTGACAAATGACCTTAACAACATGCCAAAACTTAGAGTCAGCTCTTGAAACATAAGGCCAATTCTTCCATATTGTCTTTGTTAATACAGTATCTTGGTCTCACAAAAATATACTCGTAAAATGTTTATATATTCAGAGAAAACAAACATTATATGCGCAGGCGTTATTCGCTAGTGTCGAGTCACCTACCCTACGGGTCACCGCATCTCAATGTAAATGGGACCATAGGGGCAAAATTCCTGTATATTCTTGTGTATTCTGATTGATTCCTTGGTTTTGGCTAGAATAGACCTTAACTAAATTCCTACGCGATTGATCACACAATATTGGTTTCAAGCAAAGGAGCACGTAAAAAATTTGATTGTGTTGGTTTATCTTCGATTTTATCGCACGTAATCTGAGATATGACAGGCGTTCCTGGTAGTGCTTGTTTACGTGCGCGCGCTACACTTTATGGCAGGCGTTCCTTGCTTTAGTCGGGCTAGCGAATTTACTCCGAAAACCGACGAATATCTTGCGATTGTAAGCCATTCGGAGCGGTCGAAACCAAAACACTACGAGGAACGCCTGTCACATGGTGGATTGCGCGCGCTAGATAGACCAACGAAGAACAATAACTTTCTTTACATAAACAAAATTGTAATGTGCTCCCTTATTTCAAATCAAGGCAAAATACTCCCGTTTCGAGTTCTCTGTTGCTCAAGGTTAGCCTGGATCTTGTGCAGAATATTCATGTGTTAAATTGAAGGTCCATGGAGTTGCAAAGTGCTTGTATTGTTGAAGTTTTACTTTCTTTCTTTACTTTACCGTTGGTATTTTAGTATATTGTGAGTAAAAATTGAGTATGACCTCTTCCCAATCTGAACTTCTTTTGATTAGCCTATTTAAATAAGGATGAAGCTTTCTATTTAGTTATTTGTGCTGCTTTTTTTTGGGTCGGCCCCCCTTGAATGCCATATGTTCCGCCCCCCTCCCTCCCCCTCCTTCTCCTCCCCCTC